CCACGTTTTTTCGCATTCTCTCTATTTTTCTGTTATGAAAAGTCTTCTTTAACAGTTAGCTTTATAACAAAATATTTATGCAATATTTAAAAAAGTCTTCAGAAAAGTATCCCTTGTAGACATTACTATATATAATTTAAAAGGTATACACATACAATATAAATATGCATATGTATGTATATTTATTTGTACCCCAAAAGAGTATTTACTCTTCGAACGTGAATCAAATTAATTTCGTGTTATTGTTATTGTTTTCCCTCCCCAATTTCGCTTCTTTTGGCTTGTGCGTGTTTCTTTCATTATTATGTTTGCTTTACGTGGAAAACGCATTTCCTGCGCTTATTGTTTTGACCCGCTGATGATTCAGTTCACGCCCCCGCCTATAAATAGACCTAAATAAACGATCGATCGATCGATCGATCGATCGATAGAAAGCAAAAAAAACGCACATCTAGCTAATACGCTCGTCCAAATTTAGATTCAACTCTGACGTATTTCACACGCGTCTTAATTGATTTTTCGCCTTTATTAGTATTTAATTGTAAACAAGAGAAAGAACAAGAAATGAAATTGTATTACAAATGTTTATCTACCTCACTTACTCTTCCACCATCTCTCTCTCTCTCCCTCTCTATAGGTAATCAAACAACGTATACCATTGAAATCGGCTTGAGTGCCTGGAATATTGTATATGGATATATATATATAAGCCGACTGAATATGGTTCTTCCTGATCTACTTGGGATTTCGATTCTGCCACGACTCTTTTTCGCATACATTATTCATATTATTCTATATAGACATTTTTTATACATGCATTATTTGTAAATCTTAGAGATGTTTTTCACAGCCCACACGCATCAACCGCATCGCATCGCATCGCATCCATACCATATTTGTTTTAGCTCGTAAGCAATTCGCGTCGTTTATATATTTTTTGCACATGCAGCCAAGACACAAACCATAGACATAGAGCTACCTAGACATACGAACAGACACATGGCATATAATGGCATTCAATAAACAGATTAATTAATTAATGCATTTTTCGACTAAACGTGTTTCGATATATCTATAAATAGAATATATATAGAATATATACATTTATCTCTATATGGAAAACACTTGCCAGCTGCAGAATATGAATCGAAGTAGCAATTATTTCAATTGCTTCTAAAATTATGCAAAAACCAAATTTTCAAAAACAATCAAAAATTTGATTTATACTAGTTTTTTTTTTTTTTGAAGAGGTAAGTATAYTGTTTATTTATTCAGAAAGCATCTGGCCAAATACACAAGCGAAAAATATTTGCAAACCCGCAAAAGGAAAGCAAGTCTTATGTGGTATACGAATCGCAAGGGTAGGTAACATATGCGAAAAGAAAAGTGTTAGAATCAAGATAAATAAACATCTATATAACTGAAATTAAATAAGTTATCAAAGCACAGAAAATATATATACTGTGTAGGGAGATATAAAGAATAAGTATATACTTTTATTATTAATATTTAATAGTCCTATAAAAATATTAATAACATGAACTTGCTTTTATCTTAAACGGATAATTCTATTCAAAGATAATGAATGTATATTTTTTAATATATCTTAAAATAAAAACTAAAGTTCTCAAAAGGCAAGACTATTCGCAATATAAAGCAGTATAATATAAATAAAAATAATAAAAAAGAATTCGGACAACAAAAAATATATGAATAAAATAAAATACATAAAAAACTATTTATATTGAATATTACTTACATTTACTAAAAAAAAAAAATAATTTTATATTTATATTATTATTATCAATCATATTAATATTATCTGATTATCTCTCGCTTTCTTTAATAATTATTTTTGGCCAGCAAGTTCAACTGTTTAATTAATTATTAAGCAGGTTAAATACGTGTAAACATGAAATGTCTAAACAGTGTTCGACATTCATAGTATATGAAATGTCTAAACAGTGTTCGACATTCATAGTATAACTAACTTCAACTTTGATAACAATCTATTAATACATTTGTTAATTGACAGTTCTGTGAATTGTTTGTTTCTGTCTATGAGCATTTTGCTACAAGCAAACGCGAAGAAATTCAATGTGATTGCTGGAAAGAAATTTACTCAAGCCCAACTAATGTACACAATGTTTTTGTTCTGAGAGAATGAAGTATAATTCCCGGTAGCGAATACCTATCAAATGAAAATAGAATCCACTGAGATTGCTCAGCAAGTGAAGCATCGGGAAGTGCGAAATTTACAATGAGTTATCAATGAAATGATTTTTAGCCATTTCATTATGTATAAATATAGGTAGTGTAAATCTCTACAAGTAGTGTAAATCTTTGTAGTGTATATCTCTACACGTAAATGTAAAAACTAAAAGCCTGACTGCTCTCTAGATAATAAATATGCAATGCGCATAAGAAACATAGCACCAATGTAACTTTTATTTCAGTTTTCTTCTACTTCAAAGTGCTGGCAGGAAAAACTGTTGCATACTTTTCGGGGTCGCCTCTCTATGTGAATGTCAAATTGGAATGAGAGCGAATGAGAGACTCGCACCGGCGAGTCCAAGTCAGTTCCAACAGAATACGAAATGGCAAATGCGGCTCATAAATTACGCGACAGCAACAACAACAACAACTAGACGTGAGTTTGTGTGTGGAAAACTCATGCAAATTCGCATTAGTTGCCGTGCAAGGAGACGGGGGAATGCTGGGGGTGAGGGCAGAAAATAAGTTGACGCCTTGGCGGGCATCGTAAAAACCTATTTTTGTGCGCTTTAGTTAAATTTATGCGCGCGGCACAATATGTTTTGCTTTTCAGACAGTTTTACACCAATAAAAACTAATTAAATGGGATCATTTTAATATTTATCGAGCAATTCTCCGATCAGCAAAACGAAAACAAATGACTTTCAAGTTGATCTCAAAAACTCTGCTGGCACGTGTCCTATCTATAGCTTTATACAGTATTAATTTCTTCTTTTTTTTTATTGGAATTTTTTGTATATAATTCATTTCAGTTGACTTCTCACACAGACTTGGAATTCCATAAAAATCCGTTTAAGTGTTAACATGCGCAACGAGGTATACGGAAAAACAAAAATCCAGAGCTCATAAAATATGTCTACTTCTGAGTACCTATACCCTGTAAATAAATAATGCAAATATTTATGCCTATGGCTGGGTATGACAGTTAAGAGCTGGCTTCATAGCTGTGAAGTGCACAAGCTAGACATTAATGAGAGTTAAAAAATAAAATAAAAAATCCATTGTCAAATTTATTTATAAAAAAAATAAAAAATTGTGTTGAATATTTTATATTTTAAGAACTAAAATAAATTGAACGTAATCAGTATAAAAACTATATGTTACAACATTTAAATTTAAATTTAAATTTAAAGAAATAAATATATAAATCAAATAAAATATTAGTAAAAAATTTATGTATATTACTTATTGTTTCGATCAAGTCAACAAGCCTTTCCGCCTCAGCTACAGGGTATCTCAACAATTACCAATTTATTTTTGTAACCTTTTCGTTTGCATAATAAAATAAACAAGAGAACACACAAAAAAAAGAAAACATAGCACGTGGCAAACGCTGTGCTCAAATTTAATTACAGGTAAATGAACGTTCAGCTAGTCAATCAAGCAAGCCCAATCAATCAATCAACCAATCAATCAGTCAACGGACAAGCAGTTTATTTGATTTAAATGGAAATTGTATTACAAGAACGCAGACAGACCGAAAGAAAGACGAAGAGAGAGAGAGAAAGAGATAAAGTCAATGTCAGCCAGCTAGCCAGGTAAAAGCGAAGCGGAGGAGGCCAGGTGCGAGGAAGGTGGGCAGTAGATGAGCCAATAGCAACAGCAAGTTCAACATTTTGTTTAATCAACCTTCGCAGCTGCTGTTTATTAGAGACAGATTTACGACTGCGTCACATCCTGTTGAGACAAAACGAGAACAAGAACGGCAACAGCAACAATTAATGCAACAACAGCTACTACAACAACACCTACAACAACAACACCTACAGCAACAACAAGAACCATTCATAAATAATCCATTGTTTTGGCCACATCAACTAAAAGCCCTGACCGCCGCTGAAATTAGCCTCTGGTCAACCTTCAGAGAGAGAAAGAGAGTGAGAGAGAGGGAGAGAGAGGGAGAGGGAGAGAGCGATAGAAACTATTGGCAAAAATCTATAAACATTGAATAATTAAAAATTTTAGCAAAAATTAAATTTTGATTTTTTCTTTTCTTTTCCTTCTCGTTTTTAATGCGTCAAATAATAAATATTTATTGATAGTTTCCATTGTTGTTGCTGTAGTTGTTGTTGTTGTTGCCATTGTTGTATGCGTCGTAATTTTCGCTAAACAATGTGCCACATTTAACAACAAAGCGAATTTGTTTTTGCACAAATTTTTATGATGGTTGTGAAAATGTTTAGAGAAACTTTTGCTTTTACGACTAATATCGTGGACAGCAACTACACTATGTATAAAGATATATAATATAA